GCCGAGGCAACTTTGGTGATGACCGACGTGAAGGTGGTCCGTCCGGAATGAGATTCCTCTAAGTAGGGTTCCAAGCTGAAAACACAAATGTGGAATTTGCGTAGTCCCTTTTCGGAAAACCCTCAACCACATATAGGGTTTTAATCCATTAACATGGAAATATTCAAATATGAGAATCTTGATCAAAACGAATACAAGTTCTGTGAATATTTTGCTTTCTGAATCAACTGAAACCCATACCTGACGCCATCGTAAAACAAATCCAACGTCGCCTTTGACACATCGACAAACTACACATGCCGGAAACTAGTCATCAAAGTCTACCAAATCGATTACACGAAACGTCGATTCGTATTTCTAGGGTTTTAATGACCCAAATAACAAATCGAAAACTCAGAATGACGATTTAACATTACCAAACCTAGCAACATGATTGAATCCCATTTTCACTGAATTAACATTGCAAATCTACTATTTTTCCATATCAATCTCTTCTGTGCTTATCGCTATAGAGGGAAAACAAACACAACCTATAGTAAGCTTTATTGGATAGAGATGTATTTTTAATAATGTTCAATCCCTAAAATACCCACAAAATCTAAACGGCACGTGCTAACATCACGTGCAAATAGGTCATTTTATCTCCAACGGGACTTATCAGTCCATAAGATTAAACACAGGACTAAATGGTTCACAAGTTCTTATTTTGGGATTTATTGGTGCATTGCCCTATAAAAAAATGGTAATTTTTTTAATCATAACTAAAAAATATCCTAATTAAATATAACATTAGGTATAATTAAGGCCTCATTTGAAAAGTAAGTTAGGATTAATTTAACTCATTAAAAGATAAAATAAGGATGAAGAGGTTATCGATATTCAATTAACGTGAATTTTTACAAAGATACAGTATTTAATGGACTCTACATATTGAACGGATTAGATTATCGAAACGGGAGTTATAGAAGTCACGAACCTAACAGTAAGCCCATCTCATTGCAAAAACGTACCCTTGGGTTTACGACAATGATTACAAGTGCTCATGGATGGAATATGATCAAGTGGTCGCCATTCGTAGAAGCTTGGATTTGAGAATCCTCTCTTGTAGAAGGTTGTCCTGAACTTTTTTCGATAATCTGAACCATTTATATTGTAAGATTTGTCAAGTAGATCATTCATACAAAAAATTAAATTGATTGAATAGCTGCAGCTCTTTTTTTGGAGGGGGCTGAATAGAAAATTTATTTGTAGCTCTATAACAAGCGCACATTTATTTTTATAAAAATTAACGGTTAACATAATTTTTATAATTTTTTAAAACAATTAGGACTAATCATGGGGTTACAAATATCCAATTAACTTGATTTTTTGCTTCAATAATTTTCTTGACGAACCTTACAATATGAACGGTTCAAATCATCGAAAGAGACTCGAGATAACCCTCTACAAAAGGGCAAAGCATGCTACTGTGCCCTGGAGGCACAACAGTACCCCCAAATTTGAAAAAATCAATCAATATCTATCCACTTATTTAGTAGATACAAATTAAACAAATCCTGCAAATTGATAAGTCGATGAGGGTTGGCCCGGTGATTTGAGCTATATTGTGTTGAGTAATTTTTTAACTATTTTTTATTAAATTCTTTTTTATTATTTTTGGTCTTATTTGAATTCAAAATTTGTTATTCTTTATTTTTTTATAATAAAAATAAGAACAACTTTCATCTTTCATAAACAGGTATAATTATTAGTTAATAAAATGTCTTTTTTTTAATATATAAAGATTAAAACATAGGATCATTTTCTAAAATGGTAACCAAAAAAAAATAAGAATAAATTATCATGTTTTAAAATAAATTAAAAAGACACAATTTTCAATGCATTGTCATTCATTTTCTTTATTAAAAATTTATCACCTCATTTCTACCAAACAATGGACAATCGGGGATCAAATTAGATCGAATAATCTTTTATTCACCATCCATATAAATTTAGGCGAGTTGAAAAAAAATGCATTCGTATATGTTTACTTAGACCATTGAAACTGTCCATTTTATGAAAGATCATGTTGGAAAATCTTCACTGTATTCAAAGGATAAATTAAGAAATGAGAGATTATGTTTGATTACTAAAATCGGAACAAAATATAAACAAAACAAATTCTTACTTTTGTTACAAAAACAAAACAGATTCTGGGAGAAAATAAATAAATAAATAAATAAACAACCTACTTAAAGTATTACTTTATCGAAAATTCAAGTTCTCGGAAATTCAATCAAGTCCAATGTTCAATACTGTTTCCTTAAAACAGATTTGTCCTCTCTACGGTGTTTTCAAAATGTGGACGTCTATCTCTTAGGATAAAATGATTGATGACAATTAGTGGCAGTACTACAAACTATATGTCCAGCGAACACACTTTGTGTTTATAATCTTTCTTACAAGAAATTTATGCAACAAAATATAGGAAGCAAAAGCAGAAGGAAGAACAAAAATTCAATCAAAAACCAAATGGAGGATTTGTCTATTTGTAGGAGATTTGGTGGCTATTTAGGACAGACTTGAACAGGTAAAGAACCTATTTGGAACAGATTTGAACAGGTAAAGAAACTGTTCAGGTTGGACTTGAACAGGTAAAGAACCTATTTGGGTTGGAGGTAAAGATGCATTGGACTAAAATGCCAACGTTCAAAAACGTTGGGGTCATTTCGGAATTTATTTTGAATTTCAAACTAAAATTCAAATTCTAAATAGTAAGAATTTAATTTTAGAAAAATAAAATTCAAATGTTTTTTACTCAAAAAAGAAAAGCATTGGACTACACAAGCCCAGCCTTACACATCGCATCCGCACCCAAGCCCGCACTCAAGCCCAGACCGATTTAGGCGATGCGCGTGTGGTAGTTTTTGGAGTCCAATGGGTCAAGGCCCACTTTTCCCATAACCTCCTTCTCCACAAAACTTGGGTATTCCTTGGGGCCTTCCTCAAGATGCAAACTCAAGATTTATAAACTCACACCAAGTTTGCCCACTCAAGTAATGTTTGCCCACTCAAGTAATGTAGGACAAATCTTTTCTCCATCCTTTATAGAAATTTCATCAAAACATCATTTCCATAGAGCTCATTTTGGTATTAATTTCTTATTTACCTGATAATAGTTTTGAACAATCAAATATACGACGTGAATCGTTACGCGGTAAAGAATGCATTGTCACATAATCCCGCCAATTTTGACACATGGGTGTCACTTAAAAAATAGACCAAAACTTTAGAAAAACTGTTTTTTCTCAAAACCATTTCTTATACAGATTAGGCCAAGTTTGGGAAGACTAAATAAGTGCATTTTTTTATTTTTTTTGTATTATGTGTAGAAAAAGTAGAGAGGAGATGCTGATTGATGTAACCCAAAAAAGATAAAAAGATGAAATAAGTGTACTTTTTTAAGTTAGCCAAACTTAACCTTAGTTTGGGTTATTTGATTTTGACAGCTCGCATGAATGTTTGTCCAGCCCTTACAATCATAAATAGGCCATCTTATTACCATATCTTATTATTGGGCAAGAGGTAAGACTGCAAAAGAATTGAGTAGTAAATTGTTTGAATATGACTTGAAAATTTAAGTGCTCATTTAGTTACTGTCTTTGGCTAAAAAATTATAAAAGGACAAAAAAAAATCAAAAAATCACAAATGGACAAAAGGATAAAAAAAAATTTGCCATTCAAAAGTCAAAAAGTCAAAAAATCCAAACAAGAAAACCAAACAACCAAAAAAGTATCAAGCTAAAATAGTTAAAAAAGTCAAAAAATCAACTAAAAAAATATTACCAAACGACCCCTAAGTTTAAATTCAGTTCAAACTTAATTACATAATAAATTAATTTTTAACAAATCAAATATAAATCAAACTTAAATAACTTATTCATTTAACGATCATACTTAGAGGGCTCTACCCCCCTTCCAAAACCCCGTCCAACTCATCTAACAGTTTTGATATTTTTGAAAGGATTGATGGCAGTTGGTCCTAAAAATTTATATGAAAGAAAAATATGAACAAGTGTTTTATAGTCATTATTTAAAAATAATTACAAAAAATGTAAAAAACTATAAAATAAGTGAAAAATATTTCAAAATTAATAAAAATATATATATTGAACTCTTTTTTTTTTTTTTTTTGTCTTTTTCCTTATGTCACTTGTTTACCTGACTCAATAAAAAATATGTACTTCCCACTCTATAACAAAAACTAATATTATTTGTATGTCAATCTTTAATTTTAAATAAATTACATTTTTATGAGAGTGAAAAAATGCATACATCCTAACAACTTTCATATAATTATACCAACTTCTCTTTTAATAAGACTAAAAAAATAAAACTAAAATTAATACAAATAATATAAAAATAAATAAATAAATATATAATAATATTAATTTTTAATTTATATAATTAACAAATTATTAGAAAAAATAAAATTAAATTGTGAATTAAAATTTTTAAAAAATTCCATATATTTTTATGAAAATTTGTAACTACTTATATTTTTATTAAAAATTTCAAAAAAACTTTAATATACTAATTTTTTTTTTTTAATTATATTTCTCAGTAGTTTTAAAAAATTAAGAATGCAAAGTGCAATTTATGCAAATCTATATTGCGCAAAGTGAATATTTTATTTCTCACATAAAGTCCACTCATGTTAATATTATATAAAATATTTAATAATACATTTAAAATATTTAAAATTTCTAATATTACTCAAGTTCATATCAAATTATATCTCATCTGTGTAATAGGTGTTGACAATTTATATGAAATTGTATCTCTCTATGTAACACGTGTTGACAATTGGGATGTATTGGTGGTGACATTGATTTAAAATGTAAGAGATAAATTGACAAAACAACAAATCTAAGATTTAAATTAATTGACACAAAAGGGCTAAAGAAAAAAAGGCAAAAATTAATAAAGTAAAAAGGATAAAATTGAGAAGGAAAGTAGAAGGGGTCTCATTGTCAAATTATTATATTGCGATTACAAATTTATTTATTTATTTATTATTATTAAAGTCTACACATACATGACATGATACATGTAAACTAGAGAAAGGAAAGACGAAAGCTCAAAACACAAGTACTGAAAACAAACACAGAAACTGAATTCACTCTCAAAACTAAACTTGAAAGAGCAAACCAAGACATCACAAGACTTTGTTTCTTTTATATATGATCATGATGTTGGGTGCTTCGATATTGGCAGATATTTATGCGATGCTGTTATTTAAAACCAAGATGACTCAATTAGTAATCTTCCGGAGCCAAGGGTTGGTGGTGGTGGTGGGTGTGGTGTGGGGTGATCTCGGACGGTATTATGGCGTATTCATAAATGACCCCAGCGATAGCAGCTCCAATGAAAGGACCGAGCCAATAGATCCAGTGATCGCGCCACCTCCAACCAACCAACGCGGGCCCAAAGGCCCGCGCTGGGTTCATCGAAGCTCCGTCAAAAGGACCACCCACCAAAATATTAGCTCCGACGATGAAGGCGATGGCCAGCGGTGCAATGGTCCCCAAGCTCCCCCTCTTGGGATCGATACCAGTTGCGTAAACCGTGTACATTAGCCCGAACGTCATTACGATCTCCAATAAAAGCGCGTTCAAAACTCCGACTCCAGCGCTCACGTGAAACCCTACGGGTCTCATGCCGCCGGTGGCTAGCCTGAGGAGGAGAGAGGCTACGACGGCACCGGCGAGCTGGGCGACCCAGTAGAAGACGGCGCGGAGGAGGGAGATCCTTCCTCCAACCAGGGCCCCGAAGGTGACGGCGGGGTTGACGTGGCCACCAGAGACGTTCGTGCTGGAGGCTATGGCAGCGAAAAGACCCAAGCCGTGAGCGAGTGCGATCACTACCAGCCCACCCGCTGCGGGCAATATGGGTGCTGGCTGGTCTTCCCCGTACATCTTATCTGCAAAATATTCCAAAATACAGCCATGCATGCTGACTTGACTTGACTTGGTGAGGTGAGGTGAGGTGAGGTTACATAATACTAATCAAGAATTGAGTACAATTGTACAAATAGAAAAAAAATAATATGTAAAAGAATTAAACAAATTAATAGAATGATGTAATAATAAAATTTTATTTTATTAAAATTATAAACACATGGTAATGGTAATGGTAATGGTAATGGTGTGTAAATAATAGGGGGGTATTGTATTTGTATTACCGAGAGCAAGGATGGCGCCTTCGCCGGCAAATACAAAGATGAAGGTGGAGAGGAACTCGGACAAGGCAGCCCGCATGGAATCAGGGTGGGTGCCCTCTGCTGCGCTCCCAAATTCATATCTACGCTGCGGCATGCCTTTCTTTTTCTCTCTCTCTCTCTACTATATATATATATATACCTTATCTGCTGTCTGTCTCTCTCACAGCTTAACTCAATCAATCTCTTTAATTTGCTACCTTCGCCACCACCTGCTGCTGATGCCTGATAAATCTTTTTCTTTTATTTTTCTTGTGTGTGTGTGTGTGTGTGTGAGAGAGAGAGAGAGAGAGAGATGATTTGATCAGAGGAGATGGAAAAGATGAGGGAGAAGGGAGGGGTGTTAGTGGTGCTTAAATTAGACAAAGTAGATTTGGATTTGTCATAGTATAGTGGACACTTGGGAGAACAGTTGCAGTAATTGTGACACGTACTCATATGCGTTGGCTACTGCCTATTTGATTTCTTTCAACACCTCTTCTCTTCTCTTCTCTTCTCTTCTCGTTTCTCCCCCGCCTCCTCCAAGCCCCTTTTTTGTCTCCTTATCAATGTTAAGCCTCTTGAAAGAAAAAAAAAAATATATACATAAAATATTTTATGAATTTTTTCTACTTTTAAATTATATATAAAATAAATCATCACACACTAATTAAAGAATAAAAAAATTTTATAAAACATTTGACAATGTATATATATATATATATAATATGTGTTTTATATTTCCAAACCTTACCTATATTATCTTTGAAACAATATATATGTATAAAGAAAAAAAATTATACAAAATTATTACGGATGTGCTCTGGAAACACAAAAAAATAGTTAAGATAAAATATTTATATTTGTAATTATGAAAATGTTCACATCATGTAAACATATATGTCGCATTGTGTATTTTATGTTTGAGACTTTGTGTTGTTCATAAATTTTTTTCAAATTACTTTATAAAATGGTGGGGGAAATTTTACAATACGCACCTTCAAAAAAATGTGTCTGGTATATGATAATGGATACATTCAAAATAATGGATAGATATTTATCCTATTGATCTTTATTGTTGATTATTACAACTAATTTATATACAAGAACAATGATACATTTATTTAAAATTTTACTAATAATTTTATTAAAAATAGACATATTCAAATATCATTGGAGTTTAAATGTCATTATTTTTTACAACTAATCACATTTGACCTCTTATATTTTTAATAAGATTATTAATATGTATAGAATTATTCCTATATATAATCATATTTTTTACCTCATTTTCTTACTCCAAAACACAAGTGATCATTGGCTCTTCTATACATTTATGAATGTAGATCCCATTACTTTGTGTCTAATAATAAGAAAAGAAAATAAAAAAAATATAGGATTATATATATTATGAGTAATGCTACGTATCATAAAATAAATATCATGAATTTTTTTATGAAACTTATCTAAAGGTGATTGCATAACATACAATAAAGCATTACAACTAATCCAAGAATAGAGAATCTTCATAAAAACTTTTTATAATATTTTTTTCATGATGCCTAATATTATATATTGATATACTATTACTCATCAAAATAAAATAAACTAAGGAAGGGTAATAAATAGAAAAAATTGTCACCATATTTGGATATATATATATATATATATAAAATGAGATAGGCCTACCAAATGTGTTTGGTAACAAATTTCTGGGGGATTTTATTTGGGCCCAAAAAATCATTAAGTATTCCTAATCTCTCAATACATTTTATTAAATTATTTAGGATTATAATTTACTTTCAATACATCTTATATTTTTTCCAAATTACCATTCAAGATACACCTAAATAATAAACAAATCAAAAATTTTAAATTATACCACTTTGAAAAATCCTTTCAAAAATCCAATCCTTTCAGAGTCTTATTAATCATCAAATCATAAATGAGTTTTTTGTTCTAGAACAAGATAACTGTTTAATCATAAATGAGTTTTTTGGCTGCTGGTTTTACTTGGGTATGTTACAATAATGATTAATGGCCTACATCTTTTGTCACCACTGATGACGGAGGCAAAGGCAGCGATGGATGCAATTACATGGGCCAAGGATCAAAGTCTCATATGTGTTTACTTATGCACCGACTGCCAAGTTTTGATAAATCCTCTCAATCCCTCTCAATCGCAAAGTGGATCCGGATTGGCATATTGCTCCTTTTATTAATCATCTTTTGTGGATTACTATTTATTTCTAAGACCTCCAGATCTAGCTCACAATTTGGCAAAATCTGTAAATAGTGTTTTTAATTAATAATATTATGGTTTTAGTGGTTCTCAAAAACAATATATATATATATATTATCATGGATACAACTACCAAAAGAATAAAAGTAAAATATCTATATAATGATGTTGATGATAATGATAAATTTTGGTGGAGTGGATTAAAGTTTTGGAGTGAGTAAGAAGATTAAGAGAAAACAATTGAAATTTGGAGAAAGAGATGAAAGGAGTTGAATATGAATAATACGTTAAGTGGTTTGGGTGTATCATGAGAAAAGAAATAATATTTTATTTTAGGATTTAATATGTGTTATCCTTATTAATAAATTTACAGTACAATATAATAGAAACTAAAACTTCAAAATTTTAATTAAATGTACTGAGTTGTTATTTGGGTGTAAATAGAATCACTTCAAGATTCTTAATCACCTTTCGTAAAATAGCCCATAAAAAAATATCGGATTGCTATTCTAATTTTTTTATCAACAATGTTAGAGATACAAACAATCTTACTAACACACTCACAAGTTTAAATAAGAACAACCATCACTTAGTATGGGACCCACATCAACTTGTGAGCGTGTTAGTAAGATTATTAATATGCCTAGTATTTTTCTGTTTTTTCTTTTTTGGTACATCAGAAACAAAGGATTGTTATTTTAACTTAAAAGTTAGATTTATTTTTCAAATAATGTGGTAATTAATTAAAATATTTAAGATAATTTCTTCTTTGATATCTTCTCTAATTATCAGTTAATCATCTCTTACGTATTACTGGGTCTAAAATGTGGACTTGCATATCATTTTTTAAGAAATTTTAGACATTATTTTGACTAAAAATTGACAAGGAATGTAGGTGATTATAAGCTAATATATATATATATATATACATTATTTTTTTGACATCAACAAGAATAATTCCTATAAATAACAACGTTTATGAATATCATAAGGTAAAATGTCAGCACAACACCCAAGCAAGTGCCAAAATACTAAATCAAGAAAGAGTAATACTACAAACTCTAAAAGTTTTATCAAAGTTTTTATTAAATGTTTCACATGAGTGTGAGACCTACATTGGTGTGGATCTCACACTCATGTGAGACCTTTAATAAAAACTTTCATAAAATTTTTAAAGTCTCTAGCATTTTTTAGAGAAATTCTATTTCCACACACTAGTTCCTTTCTTTTCACATCTTTTCTCAATATACATATTAAATAAATTTAAATTATCAACTTTCACTCAATACACATCCGTACCAAAAATACCCTTGCCATCTTCATCCTCCAAACCCTAACCCTAAGAAGCCACCACCGCTGTTGTCGCCGCCACCGGCGGCAGCACCTCTTCCTCTTCCTTCACTTCCAGTCATTACCCCCACCCCTCCCTTCACTCGCCAGCGCCACTTCCGTGACCTCCATATGTTTAACAATTTCATTTTTGTAGTAATTCAATATGTTTAACAATGTGATAGATCATGTTGAAACTGAAAATTTATACATGTTATTAAGCATTTTTAAAGACTAATTTACCATCTGGGTTGGTTGGTTGGTTGGGATGAAAGGTATTCAATTTGTCGCTATGTGACACACTATGTTATCATGTGTCATAGAGGATTAAAGATTCTTGAAAATCACTTAATCTGCCTAACAATGATACTTGTAAAATTGTGCATGCAAAGAGTACAAGTTGATAGAAAAGAATATGATTGCTTCGATGAAGAGATCAAGAGTTCGTCTAGTTATAAGCAGGAGTTTGACAATCATGATATGAGTTCATTTTTTCGACAGCAGAAGTATTTACACAACTTGACTGAGCGTGCTCTTTGGAAGAATGCATGAGAAGTCGTCATTGTTAATGACTGAAGAGCTCACTGGTACATCAAAACTTGAAGGCGGAGGGAGATCACAGTGGTGCGCCGACCATTTTCTCAGGCAAAAGGGGGTCGCAGTAGTATGAAAGAGGCGATGGGAAGAGTGGAGAAGAGGAGATGCAGCGGCCATGGATGATGATGGAAACTGATGATTTGAAAGAGTTAGAATTAGGGTTTTGAGAAAGGAATATTTTGGCAATTTAATTTTAAGACAAAAATGTAAATATATATATATATATATATTAAGTGTGTGAAAAGAGAGGAAATAGTGTGTGAAAATAAAATTACCCCATTTTTTATCAAGAAAGCTTGCCCATTTGACAAAATGCCAAATGCACTTTCACAATTTTCAAATTTACAAAATACTCCAATTTTATATTTTTAGGTAAAAAGTATTCATTTATTAAAAATTAAGTCAGAAGATTGGGAAAATATCCTCCACTCATTGAATTTACAAAAATGTTCCTATATATATATTTTTTTCACAATTACAAAACTACCACCTAAATTTTCCAAATCTAAAAAATTATCCCAATTTATATTTTATGCTTGAAAACGTTAAATATAGATTTAAGTAGAAAGCAACCCCGTCTTCAAAAGTCGAGGTATGATAGATTCAAAGCCCTCATCACATACTCCAACTCTCTCTTGCAAGAATCCCACTCCAAAGCTTCTGAATTCGTCATTAAACTAAAATGTTTGAATGTGTATAAATATATAGAGAGAAAAGTGAGATGAAACTACATAGGTTAAGCAAAGGATGCCTTCGAGCCACACAAAATTGTGACTCTTCACGGACTAAAGCCGCATAGATCGCTAAAACATTCATTTCACAGCTTGAGCGATGAACTCCAGAATGTATTAGACCACCACTCGAGTGATGACACCAACAGTGAAACAAACTCAAGCAAACACGCACACTCACTGAGGACTCTCCCTTTCAAACTCATCGACATCCCTGAGATTTTTAAAAGGGAAAATTACACTAACAACCCCTAATGGTCATTTGTAAAGGCTAGTGATGAATAGAAACCGTTAAACTGCTCAATAGAATGAGAATTTCCATCATTGGGCCCCTTCCAACTGACACGTGCACAAAGTAAATAACATAATTACATAAATAGAATTACCTGAATCATCACACTACTCCTCTCTTGTGCTACTAATCTAGATTGGCCGTTGTAACAATTAGATATAAAAAATGCTTTTCTTCATGGGAACTTCGAAGATGTGTATATGGATATCCCACAGGGTTCTCATCTCAATTAACTGAAGAGAAGGTATGCAGATTGAAGAAAACACTTTATAGATTGAATCAGTTTCCTAGAATTTGGTTTGATAGATTTCTCAAGGTTGTGTTGAGGTTTGTTTTGGATACAAACAAATGGATATCCCACTAGGTTCGTTGTTGATTTAGGGAATAAGGAAAGGTACCTGAGACTTTTATGGAGACTGTTATATCTCACATCCATGACAAAATATTGTATGCATGGTGGGGTGCAGAGTGAAACTGTCCCTTGATAAAACACAATCAACTTCAAGCTACTGTAAGTTTATAGGAGGGAATCTAGTTATTTGAAAAAGCAACAAACAGACAATTGTGGCTAGCTAAGTGCAGAAGCACAGTATAGACAATTGTGGCTAGCTAAGTGCAGAAGCACAGTATAGGGCTACGACTCGTGGAATTTGTGTTTCAATGGCTCCAGGTTTTGTTAAGAGATTTGGAATATACGGTGATGGACCTATGAAATCACGTTGTGACAATAAAGCTGCTATCAACATCGCTTATAATCCAGTTCAACGTGACAGAACCAAGGATATGAAAGCATAGAATACTACTAGTGAGTTGCATAACAGAAACTGACATTGAAAACTCAATAAAGATAGTTGTCTGAGCTAAGATCAGTGAGGAGCAATTGACTTTCCATGTCAGCAAAACAGACTCATCAATGAAATAATTAACAGGCAATTAATGTGCAAGATGTATGGGAAAGGAAAGTCCTGAAATTTCAATCAGTAAAGGATGTTTTCGAAACAAAATCAGAGCTTTTTCTCTCAAACAGGTGATGCTAAAGCCACACTATATCCATAGATGAGATCTCGAGCAATCCTGGTAGCAGATGCAAGATCTGTGAGGTCATTGACGTGGTTCTCAGGCTTTCCTTCTATCGTGCCGTAAACATCTAAAAACTGCAAGGAGATAATCACATAACAGCTCCCACAATGCAGGCTGAAAGAACAGAAAATAGTTCTCTTCAAGCTGGATAGACTATTTTAAGTTTGTGCCAAAAAAAAAAATGCCACATATCAAAATTATCGATAAACAAACAAACATATGCAGTTTTGTACCAGCAAGTAATATCCATGTAAATCTGCATCAATCGTCTTCATCCTCAGAACTCTCATATGCTGCTAGTAAGCTTTTGACAGGGTTCTCCACTTGAGTGGCATCTTCTGCTTTGGTCGGTTCTGACAGCGGACTCACTTTTTTCTCCTCCTGGTTTGCCTCGCGTTCAAGTAGACTTGCTAAAGCACGTTCCGTTGAATTTGGGGTGGCCTGATTCACATCAGACTGGCTTGAAACTCTCTGCCGCTTAGGTTTGATTTCCACCACCTTTTTCAGCAAATCTTGCTGTCTAAAATTCAGAAAAATCCAATTAAACCCAGAGAGTCTCTTGTTAGGTATATGGTTTGGAAAATGCCTCATGTATCTTGTATTTCTTTTGTTTATATAATTTCTTGCTTACAAAAAAGAAAAAGGGTATGGAGAGAGAGAGAGAGAGAGAGAGAATTATACCTTATTCCACTCTTTGGCTTGGACTCGACACGAAGGGCCAAGGGAACTGACGCAGGTGAAGAATCAGCTAAACTTGCAGCTTTGTGTCAATTTGTTAAGAAAAAAAAAAAAAGAAAAAAAAAAAGGACAAAAAAAAAAAAAAAAGTCAAAATTGCACTATCGTAAGAAGTTACATACCCCATATGATGTGAAGGGCAAGACCTACACTCAACAAGAAGCTATTTTCCCAACATATCTTACTAACTTGGTGGACACAGACCACTGATAATTGGCAAATACGAATTTCACAGCTTCAATGCATGGTTAAAACAAAGTAATACATGAGACTTCATTGGCAGAAAGTTAAAACTGAAACATATAAGTAATCATAGAGATCTCATAGAACTACTGTGCTTGAACAAGATGAAGATCAAAACTCGATTGCTGACCGCTTGTATATTTTCCGGCCTCCATTCACATCATATCAATCTCCAAAATTTACATCATTGCACCCTTCCAACCAAAGATACACACGCATGCACATAACATGTGAGAAAGAGAAAGAAAAGAAGGGGAGAAGCAGATGACTTCAATTGAATGTGTAAAAAGCTCAGGAAAACAAAAACAACGATATGGCCTATAACTTTAAATAAATAAAATCTAGTAGCAAAAATCCAAATGGGCGGCAATAATTTATAATTGCATTTCACAATTATATGCTTCAATATTCATGAAAGGATATTTTAAATGCAGCAAATGCACGTTTCTCAGTGCGTCGTAGAAGGCGTTCAGCATCTTCCTCAGCTTCCATCTGCTCCTTGAGATAGAGCAGATCATCACTGTCCAATGCTGCATGTTTAAACTCAACCAAAGGATAAGAACCAGTAGATTAGATTTATCAATACATATTTATATAATGAAATATATAAATACCGCCACGTCCATGAAGGTAGCCTCCACGTTCTCCAGCAACCTCTTGCATCTGTGTGCATCAACCATCCGGTAGGAGAAGCCATGATCCCTGTCGGGGCATGTTATCAGAAAACTCCACCATTTTCACATCAAAATACACGGAAAATAAGTAAATACACAACCTTATTTCATGCAGCCCATTGACACCTCCATCCCTTGATCTAGAAGAGTAGTGAGGGATAGATGAAATTGCTGCTAGTGATTATAAGAAAAACATGCATACTTAATTATTTGCCAACCTTTCTGAATTCCTTTCTAAAAACTCCAATCATAAGATGAGGAAACCCCCAAGGATGAACAACCCAAGAAACTACCACCCCTCCAAAATCTCTCCCTCTTGCAAATACAATGCCACAATCAGTTCCCCAACAAAGCATGAGTAAAAATCTCTGTGCCTTCTAATACTCACACAGCACCCTCTCTCAATAGCGAACAAATTGTCCCAATCAATCAAGAGTTACTGAAGTACCTCTCTCATACCACTCCAAAGAAAATCTATTTGTAATTTCTCAAGCCTTCTAGCTACTGATGCACGGATGGTTAAAAAGATGGCCCCGTTTGGTAGAGCTGTGAAAAGTGATTATAGATTATAACTTAACAGATTATGACTTATAACTGTGAATATAAGCTGTTAACCTGTTTGGTGCAGCTGTGGGATTATAGTAATGTTTGGTTAATAAGCTGTAAAATAACTTTTTACTGTATAATTGTCCTTTCTGCCCTTATATGATTAAAAATGATTATTTTGTCATTTTTTTTAGTTTTAATTTTAAAAAATATATTTCATTAATAAAAGTTAATATAATTAGTATTAATTAGTATCAATTAATATAAAAATTGATACATTTGCTAAAAATGTAATAGAAGTATTATTGTCACAATTATTTTCCATTATAAATTAATTAGTATCAATTAATTGCTTAATTAGTATCAATTAATATTAAAATTATTAATTAGTATCAATTAATGGCTTAATTAGTCTCAATTAATACTAAAATTATTAATTAGTATAAATTAATATTAATATTTAATTTTTATTAGTATCAATTAATATTAATAATCAACAATTATTATTAATTAGTATCAATTAATAATTAATTCATTACAAAAGTATACAATATTAATTTATTAATAATTAATACCAATTAATATTGATTTTTTTTTCTTTTTCTTCAAAAATATACAATTTTTTATTTTTTAATTAATATAAAATATACAACATGAATTATTAATAATTAATACCAATTAATATTTATTTTTCAATTAATATTGATTTTTTTCTTTTTCTTCAGAAATATACAATTTTTTATTTTTTTAATTAATATTAATATTAATTAATATTAATATTTGGGTATTGACGAGGGCATTTAAGTAATTTTAGCCTCCCCACAACAATTGTGCGCTTAAGTCAAAAATTTAAGCACCCCCTGACCAGCTTTTGAGATAAGCTGAGAAATAGCTTGATTTAAGCTATAAGCTGGTTAACTTAAGCTGCACCAAACACAATATTTTAGTTTAAATTAAGCTAAAAGCTAAAAACTAAAATAAACAGCTTATAAGCTCTATCAAACAGGCCTATAAGTACATAAGCAAGCTATAAAGAGTACTTTTGATCAAAGTAAGAAGCTCTCCCGTTGAAAGAGGTTGCATTTTCCACTCCGTCAACCTTTTTCGAATTCTCTCCACCATTGAATCCCAAACCATCTATCCTTCGAGATGAACCCAAAAGCAAGCCTAAGTAGGGGGGGGGGGAGCTCAATTTTTGCATTGAGCATTTCTAATTTCTTATACATTTTGTACATAGTTGTGCCTCTAGGACCTCCACTTATCAAAAGATTCCACCAAAACTTGAACTCATCTATGGGCAAGCAAGAGCTCGTTTGGGACGCGGCTATTTTAGTTGACTTTTTAGCTTTTCACGTAAAGACGTGTAAAAAAGTAGAGAGAGTGATGTGATTGGGTGTTTTGGCTTCTTGGCTATTTTAGCCAAAAAAGCCAACATCCCAAACATCCAAAACACTCAAAGTGGTACAGAGCATGACACAATAATATAGGCTATTTAACAGGTGCAGTTCTCAAAATGGCAAGTTCATAAAAGCGTAAGAATCTCTAACAAAAAATGGGAAAAACAATCATTTATACCTGCAGCGTTTCTTGCACATTGGAGCAAGTAAAAATTGCTTTCCACAAGCTTAGATCGTTTAGCTAACAAAAGCTATTGAATACATGAAAGCCTCTCACGCTTTAGGTTATTCTACTCCCTGATCCTTCAAATGGAAAACGTACAGATGCACACCCATACAAGGCCATTAGTTCTAACATACAAATTCCTATATTCTTCCCAAACGTTGACTCTCTTCCAAGAATCATTTCATTCATAAGCTGCAAAAAGCATCTATTCCGAGATCTTTCCAAAAATTTGAATCTAACAAAGACAATGTGGCATCCCATGTATTCACAAGATCCCTCAACCATGTTTGTATCCAACAAATCTCACCAACCACTCTAAGCAATTGAAGCTCCTCCATGTTCTCGATAGACTTGACAAACCACCCAACTCATTAGTTTCTCATCAACCCCTTCCAACTTCAGTTTCCTATAGGCACAATAACCTAAGATTATCTAAGGAGAGCTTGCGTACTTGAAACTTTACACTAAATTCTGACACGCCAATGTTGACTCCACAAAACTTCTTTTGGATCATTAAAAATTTCATAAAAGAAGTGATACTCACTTCATAATACTAAGACTCTATACAGATCTCTCTCTCATGAGCTTCCTTCACATTGCAAACATCTTAGACCCACCGTATGAAGAGGACCAAAAAAATCAAAATGTTCATAAATTTGGGTCAAGAACTTTTCATTTAAGGATTGTCAGGTGCTTTGGCAGGATGTTACATTAAGCTAATAAGTAATGACATAGCTATTGGACAGTTTCACCAAATAACTTGAAAACAAAGAAGAATTTTAGAAGGGGAAAAGTGTGAAATCTTAAAAATCTTTGGCATTTAAAGATGCTGCTTGAATTCCAAGGGAAATATTTCTAAAAGAGCACATGGAGATCAATGTTACACCATTAGTATTGCTTGATTGATGAAACCTGGGCACAATCATGAAGCAGATCTGATTAATGTAAGGGTAAAGAGGAACAAATGCATTTATTTAATGAAACCTGCTTAAGTGCTTATTGAATGCATGTAGTTAATCCACGATGCTATCAGAAAAGTATAGCAGCTAGAGTGCCTTTGCCCTTATTTTTCTGCACTAATAGTATATGCAATGAGGGTTGTTATTTTATTAGTTTGCGATTTTCCTTTGTATGCACATTGTTAGATTACTAAAAATATTATATCCTGCATTCAATAAGGCTATGTTTGAATCAAGGATTTGAGGGGGATTTGTGAAAGGAAAGGAAAAGGGAAAGGAAAAGGAAAAGTGAAGAAAAAATTAGCTTCTATTTCATTCACTTTTCCCTTCTTTTTTCTTTTTCCCTCCACAAATTCCTCCTCAAATCCTTAATCCAAACACAATCTAAGATAATTGAGATAAGGAAAAAAATTGAAGAGGCTCATTTCCCCATTCTTATTCATCTCTTATAGTGAAGCCTACGTAGAACTGAAGTACGTGGATGAGTATATACGTTGTTTTGGAATTTTGCGTAATTTTGCACAATTGTGACATGTTCTTCACATTGCATTTAATTTAGAACTGTAAGACATAAGATTGGTATTAATATATGTGCATGTTTCAATACATTTTTAGCTGATTGTGTGAGAAATTCTATATAGTTTGCCTAAACTTGGGTTATGCAACGTGGACATCATTTATACACAAATTAGTTCAGTTCTTATTTTTCGTGGATAGAATATCACAATTACAAAGAACCACAAGGCAGATTTGTCAAGCTCAAGATGTGGAGAGGGAAACAAGAAAAACACATTTGGAGGTTCCTTAAATTCCATTAAGCCTGATATATTGAGAGATAATTAAGATATTAAGGCCTTGCAATCAGATTCAACCACCAAATGTCGAAGGTCTCAGGACTTGGCAAGTCTGATCCCTTTGCTACATGCAAGTGCATCAGCAAAGATTGGGAGGAGGCTTACACAGTGAGGGCTTTTCCGTTAACTAGAGCGGCTTGAGAATTTCAAGCTGCAATATCCATATCAGCAAGAAATGATCGTTTTTCAAATGTTGCATCACAGTTGATCTTAAAAGAATCCTTGGGAAGAGGAAACTATAGAGAGGGTTTAAGAGAGTTTGAAATGGACAATGAAGCGTAGACTATGGACTTGTGCTGCTGGAAACGCCAATACCCTAACGAATTACGTATTGGTACGAACATTCCGAAACATGATATACTTTTGTTCCAAAACGGGTAAATTTAGCGATCCCAAAAGGATTTGTTCAAAATATTTTCTTAAATATTACCTTAGGAAGAAAAAAATTAAATATAATGAACTAAAATCTAAGGTGAGTTAAGTTTTGACAAGACAAAAAATAAAAAAATGGTCAAAATGCTTGTAGAAATGTTTTGCTACATGACCAAAACAAAATTAACATTTTATTGGATGCATAATAGTCAAAAGAAGATTACTGTAGAAATACCTTAAATTCTTTAAGTGTAATATAAACAAATCTAACCCTATCATATTCACATTTTAGAGTGTGTGGTGGACCGGGTTCCCATTTCCATTCCAGTTTCACATACCGAAATGATCCACGTTCCAGGTAACATAGCTGTGGACAGACAAAGGGCACATTGGAATTCTTCTGTGCAGCACACATGTGCTTTAACTAGTTATTATTATTACTACTATAAATGAATGAAAATTGATTGAATCATTGAGCTGTTTCATTCAGAAAAATAAAAATTAAGATTTAATACCAATATTTGTCAATCATTCTGTGAACTCTTTTTGTAAATTCTTTATCTAAATAGTTATGAACAACAATTATCAATTTCAAATACCTGAAGAAGTACACCAACGCATTAGAGAGAGAGAGAAAGAGAGAGAGTGAAATGACTGACCTTGGCAACCATGCGTTGGAAAGTGATGTCTTCATCATCTATCCTATCCTTCCCCTTCCCCAGTTTCCTATCTGTAAACGTAAAACACACACACAAAAAATACCCACTCATATAACAAAATTATAGATAAATCCTTAATAATAACAACAAACGTAGTTAATTTTTATTTATTTATTTATTTATTTTTGTGAATTTATATGTGTATGCAAGTATAACCACATACCTTTAGGATCAGTGAGATTGGTGTATTCTCGAACTTCTCTTCCAGCCATGTTATTTATTTGCTGTCGTTGTCGTTTGTTGTTTGTTGAGGCACTCACAAATGTCTCATCCAAATTGTTACTTGTCAAAAGACACCCCAAAAACCAGGAAAAAAAAAAAAAAAACCACCCAAATTGGGGGAAGAAGATCAATTCGATGGTTCCATTGTCATATATTTATATATATATATATATAACCTAACTAACCTGTATTCCTCCGGATGTAAAACCTAACTGCTTTTCTTGATGAGACAGAGAGAAAGAGAGAGAGAGAGAGAGAGTGAGACGAAGAAAGAAAGAAAGAAAGAAAGAGTCCGAGGCAAAAGAACAGGGCAGGGGTTTCGATGGTCTTGTATGAATATGTAATATTACAATACACATTCGTTTCGTAGAGCTTTTCTTGCTGAATATAGCAATTTTAAAAATTAATTATAATTTATATGCAAAATTTTGGAAATTATTTAATAAAATAGTATATTTAATTTGTTTTTTTAATTAAAATCATAAATATGTGATTATATGTTGATTTGGTGACACACCACCTGATATACAATATATATTCGTGTGGCAAGAATATAAATAATTGAATGTATGAATTTATTACAAAAATAATATGGTAGAAGAAGTGAGAGGAAATATTTAAATGTGAATTTTAAAATTATTTTTAAAAACACATGGGATTGATAAATAATTTTTAAAAAGACTCACATTTGGTATATTTAAAAAAAAAAATCTTTAAATATATTATTTTAAGTAAAAAGCAAAACACCAAGAAATAGGCTCCTATTAAGATGCTCATACATATATATATATATATATAATATTGAGAAAATTGGTTTAAGATTCCTACTAAACTTTTGGTAAGAGGGGAGGTTTACAATAATATTTTTTTAATGCCTAAGGTCCCTCAACCTTATGTTAAGTTGTAAAATACCTAATTTATTTTTCTTTATAACCTATGTTTGTTTGGATTTTGACAAATATAATATTCTATTACTGTTTTGTAGAAGATTTCATGAGGATGGACTTCACGATGGAGATTTCGTAGGAGATTTTGTAGGGATATTGCAACTGTTGCAGTGGACTTGACGATGGAGATTGCTATGATCGTGTAGGTGTTGCAGTGGTGTTGATCGTGTAGGTTTTTCAATGGAGTTAAATAAGGTATGTTTTCGATGAAAATTCCATATGAATTTTGATTTTTGATTTGAATTGTATGTAAGGATTCCGATTTTATATTAGTTTTTCGAGTGTATTTTGCATTAGGTTTTTGTTTTTAATTTTGATCACTTTAAAAGAGAGGTCAACTCAATGAAGTTGTTTATGATTTTTCGAGTTGATTTTTCATTCTCTGTTATCGATCAATTTTAGAGAGAGGAGAGCTTGATAGAGTTGATTTTGATTTTTGGAGTTCATTTTTCATTTTCTGTTTTTTGATCAATTTCAAGGAGAGTTGACAATGGAGTTGATTTCGATTTTTAGAGTTCATTTTTCGTGTTCTATTTTTCATCAATATGCTTATTAATGATAAGTTTTGTCCTCTATTTTTTCAAACTAGAAAAATTTCTTTAAACCAGAGATAAGTGTAAATTTCTTATCATTTTTTGTTCTCTAAGTTTTGTTCTCTGTTTTTTTTTTTGCTTTGTTAGTAATCCAGATAAAATTGTAAGTTTGTTATTATAATTCAACGAAAATCACAGAGAAAATTATAAGTTCATATGGACATATTATTGTAAATTTCTAATGCAGATAGAATCACAGAGAAATTGTAAGTTTTCATACAGTGCAGTGTTTTTTGTTATCTTGAAGGTGTATACAAGTTTGTAAATTTCTCTGAATTTTGATTTATTTGAATTGTAAACTTGTAGTCCAGTGAAAATCACAAAAAAACTTATAATTTCAAAACAGATCTTCTGTGTGATTTTTTTCTATAATTGTGCTTAATAGTTAGCATTAAATTTCTCTGTGATTCTCTCTGATTCATTAAGTTTTTTATGATTTTGTTTTTGTTATCTTGAAGGTAAATATAAGTTTATAAATGTCTTTGGACTTTTGTTTGAGTTCATAAACTCAATACATTTTGTTTTTAAAAAAGGAACTAAAAAATTAAACCAAACCAAAACAACAATTCAAATGTTCAATTCTCTCCAACCAAACCCAGTACTAGTCCAATTTTAACAAAAATAATCCCACAAGACTTGCTTTTCAAACACAGTTAACAGCTAACCACAGACAGACATTAGCATTACACAGAACATAGCACCAAGCAGCACAACAAACAGCTCAATTTCTTTCTTTCTTTCTTTCTTTATTTCTTTCTTCTTTTATTTATTTTTTTTTTTCCAGCAAATAGCAAGTTGCATCAACAGATGAATCAACAACATTAGTACAATGAAATCAGCAATACCGGCGAAGCCAGTAATAACCAACGGCATAGCAGGCAACAAACTACAAACAGGAACAACCAACATTCTCTATTCAACATATGTATCCAATAAAGGAAAATCCATAAACAAAAAAGTTGCAGTTTTCTAGCTATCCAAGCACCTACATATTAAAAGCTCACATCTTTACTTACTAGCATAAGAACCTCTGCACAAGCCTAGGCAAAAAAAAAAAAAAAAAGCAGCAGCATAAACCTTTCACAAGCCTAGCAAAAAAGCATACAACTATGCACACCCCTAAAGCCATAATCTCAACAGAGGAAACAGAGAACATAATTTTTTTTTTTTTTTTTTAAATAATAAGATCCCTGAACTCTCTGAAATCCAAACTTTAGGGCTGACTCAACGGCACCAAACTCATGGAATATGGAAGCACAATGGGAGAAATCATGGAGTTTGGCCCCAACGTGGAAAGGGTGCAGAGCTCTTCCATTTTCATCATCCCTAACTTCAACAAGTAGATCGTTGCCCCTACTCTAATGAACAAAAGACCATCTTTAAAGGCCAAAGGGTCCATCCATGGAGTCATATCAATGGTCAACCGGCTCGCTACTCTCTGTTTTACATTACAGAGGAACTCCAAATTTTCCCTCTCCATCTCATCCAGAGCTATTGAGTATTTGAGTGACCAAGTGAAGTCAAAGTAATCATCAAGTACCCATACTTGAAGTCCATCTTCAGAGATCAAAACATAGTGAAGTTTGCCTTCAGATTCCCCAATACACATTTCGGTGATGCTATCAAACTGCACAAGGGGTACTGGTATTGTAACCAACCATGATAACTCGTTTTCAATATCGAACATGAGGATTTGGTCACCATCAGTTAGCCAATAAAATATCCCTCCAATAAAAATGGCTTTGTTCTTATACAAATTGTGATTGCATTGGCAAATCTCCCCTGATCTCCTCCACGTACTTGTTTTTGACAAGTATATATCAAATGAGAAGTATGAATCGTCTGGGTCAGTCACAGTTTGATGAACCCTAACCACTTTGAAATTGATGGATTCATCTATTGGATCCTTAAAGGGATCAAAAGCCAATCCTAGGCTGCTTCGTCTGTCAGGTGCAGGCCACTGAAGTTTCACCCATTCTTTGTTCACGGGGTTGCAGATATATATTACTGGCTGTGGAGAGGGAAAGCAACTCCTACAACAAATCAAGCCATTGCTCACAGCCAATAGCACAACGTTCTCAGGGAGGAAATCAAAGATTGTGCGCTGCAATTCAGTGCCTTCTGTCTTAACTGGAATATAGCTAATAGACTTGATATCATTGTCACACCATTGGAACCTTTCCTGGAAGAAGAATCCAGAAATTGGTTCTGTCCTCTTCAACTGATGCTTGATAAAAGAGCGGTCAGAAATAAGGTGATGCCATTCTTTTGAAACACACTTCCAGCCAAGCAAAGTTTTAGTTGGCAATCGGCAAAGCACATCAATCAGAATGTCATTGCTTGCAAACCAAAGCTCCTCCATTTCCTATAGTTCAAGATTGGATTAAGTTAACAATCTACAAACTTCAAACAAAATATGGATGTCGAATATGTACGAGTACATAAATTAAAGATCTTCCCATGAAACATAGGGTTTTATTTTATATAATCTTTTTGGCGTGTTTTATTTTCTTCCTCCTTTCTCCTCCACCCCCCTTGTATATTAGAATTACATAGTTTTGCTTTTAAGTTCACACTAACTAAAATTTCATTTGGCAACAGATAAAAAAACCACTTGTTTTCTTTTCTTTTCCTGAACTTTTTGTCTTTAGTGATTTTTTTGTGTTTTTTTGTGTTTTTTTTTTTTTTTTAATTACTTTTTGGGACTTTCTAATCTAGAAGGATCTAAAAAGTTTTAAAAAAACAAAAACACCAGAATTCTACATCAGCGCTTCCCAGGATAATCATTTTCTGCTGAAAAACATCAGTTGACTCCCTAGGTACAGTCTCTGTTTTGAAGCAACCAGAAAGACACTTGGGCCACAGAGAGAATGTTAATGCACTAATTACTAGCTATGGAACAGTATTTATGATTGTAGACTGATCATTTAGTGACTCACAAAAAGAGACAATAAACCAAGAATACTTGCATGCAGCTAATGTTCTTTCTTTTTGTAAAATGTGGCTTACATGCAATATATATATATATATATGTCTACATTTAGAGGCATATCCATATTAAGAATTCTATTACATGGCTAATTCTTGTGTGTTCTAGTTCTTTTATTTCCCAACGTGAGCTAGGCTGTAACACTGGACACATTACATTGCAGCAATAAATTACACTGTGTTTGGATTGAGTGATTTGGAGAGAAAAGAAAAGAAATAGAGAGAAATGTATTTCTCTTCCATGTTTAGTTATCTTAAGTGGAGAGAAATGGGGAGAAATAGAGAGAAATGGAGAGAAACTCATTTCTCTCATAACCCTTATTTTCAATCTTCCCAAAAGTGGAGAGATTGGGAGAGAAAAGAAATCCACAAATGTTTATATTTTCATAATACCAATTTTACCCCTATAAAAATAAAAGAAATAAAATGATTGAAAATATAAAAAGGTTATTTTGGTAATATAACATAAAATAATTTCTTTTCTTTTCTCTTAATGAAATCTAACCAAACAAGAAGGAGAGAAATCAAAATCATTTCTTTTCTTTTATTTCTTACTTATCCAAACAAAAAGGAGAGAAATTACAATCATTTCATTTCTTTTCTTTTCTCTTATTACTTAAGTAATCATTTCTTTTCTTTTCTCTCCTAAGTTACCAAACATAGCGTTATAATCAAATTCTAAAGGGATATAGTCAGAAGTATTAGCTCTCCCGTACCTATATTATACCATTCCACAAGCGTTCTACCTTATTATCATCTTTTTTCCACCTTAAAACTGAAGAATAAAAAAAGGAACCAAAATCCTTGTGATTCCAATGAGATGACAGATACAACAAAAATAAAAAGAAAAAAATCACGAGCCAAATTAAGTAATGATCTTTCCTTCATCGATGTTGAAACTAGAATCGTTTGTTTGTTCTATTGAAAGAAGACAAAAGAATGCATAATCAGCTCCAATAAAACTTGGGGACACATGAATCAGACAATTGAACACCAAAAAGGTTAACCAATTAAACAATTAGGGATGAGCAATAAATAGAACCATTATATCCAAGTAACACACCACTTATAAAGAGGCCTAAATGATTATTAACAATCTATTTTTCCATAATTAATTGAGCTAAACTGTAGCTACTTTTGGACCAAAAATTCAAATATGGTTTTGGAAATTAAAAACAGAGATTCAAGGAATCCATGTATGCTCTTTTGTCTCAAATATGTATATATTTCTTTTGTTGCTATCAGGGAAACTAAGAAAAAGAAAATGAAAATAGAGTGAAAAAGACTCTTTAATGTTAGGTTGATATTTCTTTATTCCATAAACCCAAGAAATGGAAAGTACAGTGATTCAATCTTCCTTCATGGTACAAAAACTGTTTTGCTGTATTCCTTCATTTTAATTTTATACATGCATACATAGATATATACAGGTATATATGCATACATACAAGTATACATTATCAAGGCAATAGTTAAATGAAATCCTTTAGAAAATCAGAACAAATGGCCAAACCCTTTAGCTTGCTATGCCCAATTTTCTGAGAAAATAAAGAGGGTTTCCTGGCATCCAAACAATCTGTGCCAATGAAGCATCTGGACAGATATGGATCTGCTGAGCTCATCGTTTCCATAATCTTTAAAAAATTTAAGAATGTACTCTTATGGGGCCCTTCAAAGAACAAATTAATTAGGGAAGAAAAAAAAACAACAACAACAAATTAAGCAAACTTACAATAACTCAACTGATGAAACCCTTCAAAGAACAAATTAATTAGGAAAAAAAAAACAAAAAACAAAAACAACAACAACAAATTAAGCAAACTTCCAAGAACTCAGTTGAAACCCTTCAAAGAATAGTAGAAAAAAGAAGAATGACGAATGAGAAACCCATTTTTAGCTAGCTAAAGCTGCTGAAGAACCTCATTTGATAGAACAAAGAACTCAAGCTCAAAGTAAAGATGGACATCACAGTGAAATCATCATATACCATTCGAAATGCAAGAAATTCAAGAGAGAGACATGTACCGAAAAAGCTTCAAGCAGCTGACATCTACCAAGCAAGCGCTCTCTCTCTCGCTCCTCTACTCTACTCTACTCTGTCGTTCCCTTCAGTGGCACTACTACCACTAACGAATGAGAATTTTCTACTGTACAAAACAGTTTCGGTAAATACAAATACACTCCGGAGTGTAAAATGCTGATGAGAAATTATTAAAATTGGGTTCGAAAATAAATTATAAATTTCATGTTTTTGATCAAATGTACAATTTTATTTTGTTCACATATTTTGATAGTTTGTGATTAATATCTAACTCTAAACTTGGGTGGTTTTACATGAAAAATAATATAATAGAATGAGTTCAAGAAATATTACAAAATAATAATAATAATAATGAAAATTCTTAAGGAGTCAAACTCTTAAGCTGTGTTTGATTGAAAAATTTAAGAAGAAATTTAAAAATAGAAAAAAATATATATATATAAAATTAAATAAAATATAAATATATTTTATTTATATTTCACCTATTTTTAAAATTTTTTTTTTTAACTTATTTCTCAAATTCTCTAACCAACCACGACCTTATTATTTTTTCTTAGAATATGTCCTAGGGGAGATAACAAATATATTAGTTGATGGAGTTTGGCTTGATATTGGGAGTATTTGTTCAGCTTTTCAAAGCCAACTTATGACTTGGTTAAACTTATTTCAAATAGTTTCTGATTTTAACAGTTTATTTTAACTCAAAAAAATTGATTCTGAGAAGCTGCTTTTCCCTTACTTTTTAATTTATAGTTATACTCTTAAATTTTTTTATGTTTTATTTTTTAAAAAATAGAAAAAGACTCAAATGGACTATAGATTATTATTATTATTAGGGCAAATTACATATACCTCCCTCGAGGTTTAGTTAAATTACAGATACCCCTGAGGTTTCGAAAATTACATCTCGCCCCCTGAGGTTTGCATTTTCATTACAATTTGCCCCTTGAAGTTTATATTTCATAACAAATTAGCCCCTAATTTGTTATGCAAATATAGCATTCAGGGAAAAATTTGTAATTTCTCAAACCTCAGGGGTATCTGTAATTTAGCCAAACCTCGAGGGGGTATATGTAATTTGCCCTTATTATTTTTTATGAGAAATGTAGACAAACAAAAAATAAAAGTTAATTGAAAAAACTATTTCACAGCTTATTTAACAAACCCTACTCAGCAACTTGAATCTATAATCCAACAGTTACACTAAACAGATTAACAATTTCTGATTAAAGTTATAATATATAATCTATTAAGTTATAATGTATAAACTGTTTTAATAATTACACCAAACGGAGCCATTGTTCTTTCTCTTACTACCATCACACCTACTCCACCATTTTCAGCCGATGTAATAGTGCCCTTGCCCTTCCAATTTGTTCTCTATCTTGAGCCTCGTTATTCTTACTATCTCAGCATTTCTAATTAAGCATATCCCTCACTTTTTTACCTCCTTTCCAACCATGTAAATTTTGAAAATGTACGATTATATTATATTTCAATAGTGCAACTTGTTTAATCACCAGTTGTATAGGTTAATTTTAATCATCTAGAGTAATTTGGGTCAATTGCATATGACGTATTTGTCTTTACCACAGAGTTTTATTTTTATTTCTATATTTGTACTTTGAAAATAACATAAAAAGTGAGTGTTAATTAATGAAATATGAAAACATTGTCGAATGATTAACATCTAACAATGTTCATACAAATATACAAAATAATACTAAAGCTTCCGTAGCAACCCTCTAAAAGCTAGTTTATTAGCTAAAGAATTTGTTTTGTTAAATAAATAAACAAACATTAGGTCATCTTGACGCACACAATTTTTGATATAAAGTTAACTTTAATCATCCTAAAAGGTCATTTAAAAAATAAAAGAACAATGGTATATGTAATTTCATTTCTTATTTCATTTTGTCACTTCTAAACAAAATATAACGAGACTCACACTCATAAATGCTGTGGGGATGTATTTTCTGAATACCAACACGTGACAAGGTGACGCCGACGTGTCAGCCGAGGTGCCACGTGTCCTGGTCGTGACGCCGAGGTGATCTCGGCAAGGCCGAGGTTATCTCCGAAGATATCGGAATCCGAGATAAGTGGATAAGGGACAAGAGTCCTAGAATGAAGAAAGAACTCAACCTGGATGAGGGACAAGAGTCCTAGAATGAGAGAAGACTTCAGTTTGTATTAAGATAAGACTCTTAGAGAGTTTATCCTAATCTTACTAGCAGTCCAAGATTAGCAGTAATCCTGAGTCCATAGAAGTTAGGCTCCTATTGGGACTAGGTTTATGTTGGCTATAAAAGAGAGGCACCCCCATGGGTCCAAGGTACGCAATTTTATGCTTTGAACAGTAAGTTTAGCACTTGATTATCTTTGAGAGATATACTGACTTGATCGTCGGAGTGCCCCCGGGTGGTTGAACCACCGCCGGAGACTTTTCTTTCTGTTACAAGTTAGCTAAAGCCATCTATTCTGCCAGTGCTCTTTAGCTGATTACTAAATGGGCAGTGTGATCAGAAAATCACTCACACAATTTGGCGCCGTCTGTGGGAAAGAAAGAAGAATAGATGGCCAATGACGGACAAAAGGATCAGACTGGAGACAACGCTCCTGCTGGGAATGAGAGATCTATCAACCTCGACGTTGAAGGGGACAATAGTAACACAGAAACTCGTGACCAGAGTCACGGAGTAAAAGAAGCCGACCAGGAAGGTGACGCACCAAAGACAACAAATCGAAGCAACGAAGACGACCTCCAGGTATGGAAGGATAGATACCTGCGGAGGAACGAAGACCCTTCCAGAAGGGATGCAAAGACAGGGGGCATGAGCGCTCCCAAGGAGATAACATTCAAGTATAGAAGAACTCATCCTGAGTGTGCAGATCCCAGATTCCAGATCCTGGATCCCGGATCCGAGAAGACATGATCTCAGCCTAGACAAGTAGGGCCGAGAAGACGAGAGCTCAACCTAAGTGAGAAAATCCAAGATTCCAGAAGATAAGATCTCGGCACCTGAGTTCGAGAAGAGAAGAGCACAATGAGCAGATCTCAGATCCCAGAAGATAAAAAGGAAACACACAAGATCAGACTAAAGTTGGCCAGAATTGAGAAGTATGCTAGGGCCGAGGAAGACATGCCGGGAACAAAGGCGTCGGAACAAGAAAAGAGAAACGGCTCGCCGATGCGAGGCCAAAAATCAAACTCAGGTTGGAGCCAAGTAAGATCAATAGAGAAACCAAGGCCGACAACCTCGGCTTGAATTCAACCTCGGCGACAAGGTCGAAGCTACACGTATGATGAGAACCCAAGTGAATTTTAAGTTCACATTGGGGGCGCAGAGAAGAAGAATGCGTTTACCACTTGTTGAAATTTGTAGCAATTTACAAGTTGGTTAAACCAATATGACGTTTACCGCTTGTTGAAATTTGTGGACAATTTACAAGTTGGTTAAATCGAAAAGTATTACTTAACACTTGTAGAAATTTATGGACAATTTACAAGTTAAGTTAAGCCGAGATCATTGTTTAACGCTTATTGAAATTTGTAGCAATTTACAAGTTGGTTAAACCGAAAAATATTGTTTAACACTTGTTGAAATTTGTGGACAATTTACAAGTTAAGTTAAGCCGAGATCATTGTTTAACACTTGTTGAAATTTGTAGACAATTTACAAGTTGGTTAAACCGAAAAGTATTGCTTAAACACTTGTTGAAATTTGTGGACAATTTACAAATTAAGTTAAGCCGAGATCATTGTTCAACACTTGTTGAAATTTGTGGACAGTTTACAAGTTGGTTAAACCGAAAAGTATTGCTTAACACTTGTTGAAATTTGTGGACAATTTACAAGTTAAGTTAAGCTGAGATCATTATTTAACACTTGTTGAAATTTGTGGACAATTTACAAGTTGGTTAAAACGAAAAATATTGCTTAACACTTGTTAAAATTTGTGGACAATTTACAAGTTAAGTTAAGCCGAGATCATTGTTGAACACTTGTTGAAATTTGTAGCAATTTACAAGTTGGTTAAACCGATATGATGTTTACCGCTTGTTAAAATTTGTAGTAATTTACAAGTTGGTTAAACCGATATGATGTTTACCGCTTGTTGAAATTTGTAGCAATTTACAAGTTGGTTAAGCGAATATAATGTTTAACCGAAGTTAAGCCGAGATGATGCTTAACCGAAGTTAAGCCGAAGATGATGTTTAACCAAAGTTAAAACGAGATGATGCTTAACCGAAGTTAAGCCGAGATGGTGCTTAACCGAAGTTAAGCCGAGATGATGTTTAACCGAAGTTAAGCCGAGATGATGCTTAACCGAAGTTAAGCCGAAGATGATGTTTTACCGAAGTTAAACCGAGATGATGCTTAGTCAAAGTTAAGCCGAAGATGATGTTTAATCGAAGTTAAACTAAGATAATGCTTAACCGAAGTTAAGCCGAGATGATGTGGAAACTTGAGAAAAGTTTACAAGTTAGGCTAAAACCGAGAAGATGCTCAAACACTTGTTGAAACTTGAGAAGAGTTTACAAGATTGAAGACTATGGTTAAATACTTGTTGAAATTTTTTGAGCAGAAATTTACAAGTTGAACGAGAAAAAATTTACAAGTTAAATCAAGGTTATGCTGAAAATAGTATCTACATACTTGCCGAGATTACCATATTGCCAAGACTTGGAAGAAGTTTGAAGACAGAAGTCTTACTAAAAGTGAAGTATTAAGTTGTAAATAACACTTGTGGAAATGTTATGATAAATATTTTTCAAGTATTAGGTCAAAAACCGAGATAAACTGATTAAATGGGTACAACAAAGGTGTTACACCCCGAGGAGATTGCACAGTTAAAGGTGTATATTGAAGGCGGGCATATGACTCAGGTTTGCAGAAACACTAAGAGCACGCTTAGAAGATCTGATGAGGCAAGGTGATCTGAAAGGACCTCGTCAATGCGACCAGAACAAGGGAAGAACAAGAAAAACTGCCTCAGGCGCCAGCAGCTCCACCTCCCCCAGTACAACAACCTCAGGCAGAAAGACCTCGGGTAATTAATGTAATTCACTCGAGGGTCAACGAGAACGAAATTAAGGGAGAGACTCAGAAGGTAAAGCACCTGCAACATGTCTATCAAGACGGGGACAAGAGACATCGGGCAGATGAGTGCTTGGGACCAGTAGTGTCTTTTACCGAAGCCGACCTCGAAATGGTCCAGCACCCACATAATGACGCTTTGGTAGTATCCCTCCAGGTTGGGGAGTGCCAAGTGAAACGCATCCTGATTGACCAAGGAAGCTCTTGTGACATCATATATGTCCGATATTACAAGGAGCTCGGCCTTCATCCAGACAATATGGAGCAACCCAATAGCCCAATGGTTAGGTTCAAAGGAACGCCGACGTGGGCACTGAGAGCAGTAAGCTTGGAGATGCAGGTTGACACCAGAAAGATCACAACAGAATTCACCATCATCGACACTCCTTACAAATCTTGGGAAGATCATGGTTGCATGCAATGGGGGCAGTTCCCTCAACATTGCATCAACTACTGCGGTTCCTAACAGAACATGGGATTGAAGAAAAACAAGAAGAGAAAAACAGAGTCAAGAAGATGACAAAGTTCAAAGAATAAAGCCAAGTGCACATGCACTAAGTAAGTATGTGAATAACAAGAAAGTAATGAACCAGACATGATACTAGCAACAGAAAGCGGATATGACAAGAACAGTTCCAGGCATTTTAGCAATAAGAAATCAAAAACTTGAAGACAGACGAAAATAGAAGGCAACAGATGGCAAGTAAACAGAATCAGAAGAGTTATGAAAGATTGAGCTTAATAAAAAGTGAGAATTTATGAACCTACCAAATGAACGCCGATATAAAGATCGCCGGAGTCAAATAGGTGACTGGAAATCAGGAAACTCACCAGAGAGTGTGAGTGGAGCAGTTGCAAAGCTCTTGGAGTTTACAAATTAATGGAACCAGAACCTCGGCTAGCAGGTGCGATTTCAAGCAGCTTGGAAAGCATGAAACTTGATTCTTGACACCAGTGGACAATAAAGTCCAGGGAACTTTGAGGTCGGCGAGTTTGATCTCGGACAGAGGGGCACAGATGAACAAACAGTGTAAGTTCCATCACCTCAGAATACCGAGGTAATAGAACCTAGGGGCAGTTGTGGGGATGTATTTTCTAAATACCAACACGTGGCAAGGTGACGCCGACGTGTCAGCCGAGGTGCCACGTGTCCTGGTCGTGACGCCGAGGTGATCTCGGCAAGGCCGAGGTTATTTCCGAAGATATCGGAATCCGAGATAAGTGGATAAGGGACAAGAGTCCTAGAATGAAAAGGAAACTCAACTTGGATGAGGGACAAGAGTCCTAGAATGGGAAAAGACTTTAGTTTGGGCAAAGATGAGACTCTTAGAGAGTTTATCCTAATCCCACTGAGAGTCCCAGATTAGCAGTAATCCTAAGTCCATTAGGGCCAGGCTCCTTTAAAAATTATGACTTGAATCTTCTTATTTATTATTTTTTTTGGTTTAAATTTTTATAACGAAAATATCTTTTCATCAATAGGATAAATTACACTTTACTCTTTTAAACAATCACCTAATAGTAAATATTTTGTTAAGGATATATGTTTCTAAAATAGATAAAAAAGTAATTTGCCCTTCATAGTAATGAAAAGTTTTCATTACAAAAATGTGAGGTTGATTATAACATTATTTTTCTTATAATCTAAGAATTTTTTAGTTATACCTAATGTATGTTTGGTTATTACTCCCTTTTTTTAAGTTATGACTTGAATTATGGTGAGGCCAATAATCAAACTCACAAATATTATATCTTATATACACATGTAGCATTACCCATATAAAAAAGAAGAAGGATTCCCTCCAGTCCAAAATCTAGACTGGAGGGCACTGTTGGGGCCTGTGGGACTCTTCACAGGTCTTGTTTTGATGATCCGAACAGTTTATTTTATTGGGTACTTTGTGTATTTTATTTGCACAAACAAAAAAAAAAAAGAAGTCATTGTAATAATTATAATCTATTCAATTTATCGCGTTTGTCATAAAAAAATTTTAAAAAAATGATTAACAGTTGTGTTTTTAAAAATAAACTATCAATTTTAAATAATTTGAATTATTTATTTTGTAAAATGTATGTCAAAAAAAAAATATTCATATAAAAATTAAGTTCATAAAACATTAGTTCAATATGAGATTTTTTTAAACTCATATTCACTGTCCAATTTTATACCACAAACATAATTTAAATATATAATTATCCATATCCGATTAATCCAATTGTTTACAACAATTACCTTCGGGTTTGGCCCAATAAGAAATATATCAGGGCTTCGAATTGACGGAACAACAACAAATCTTCTCAGTCTTAAATTGTAATTTAACTATACTAACATACTAATATTATATTTGTAAAATAATAATAATAATAATAATAATAATAATAATAATAATAATAAAAAGACTATAAAACCTACAATTTGAATTACATCAAACCAACCACCTCTATTGAATGAAATTATTTGTAAAATATGTTCAATTTTCCCTTCATTTCAACAAACTAGTAATTTAATTTGTGATTATTTTTTTCAATTGTTTGACTACAATTTGGCAAACAGAAAGATCATATTGACCTCAATTAGTAAACTAAAGACAAGATTGACCCCAACATCATACTTTTTACTTAAATTTTCTTTCATTTTTTATGGGCCACATGAGAATATCCACCCAATACTTGTAAATACATTACATATATCTAGTTGTTTTTTTTCTGGGGGGTCAGCTAACCCCATATTCTTGTAGCACTGCCTCTGGTTAGATCCATCGTTCATGCTTGTATATGGGCAGTTCCAATGTAGAACATGGATATATCTAGGAGAGACACAAGCTTCTTTCTCTCTCTCTTAGTCATATAAGCCAGGTAGGAGGTGTCAAACATCCCTAGTGAGGTTTTGTGCTTCATCTCATCTCTAACCAATTGGTTAATTAATTAATTAACCTTAATTAATTGAGGCTAACACTAATGAATCATAGTTAAACCACTTATCATACTATCAGTCTTAATTAATCATGATTACTAGTTTAATTAACCATACTTAACCTTAATTAATTATGATTAACTTTTACATAAAGTGGGAAATGATAGACAACAATATTAACTCCTGTCAATTGAGCACCTTGATTAAGAAAAACCAAAAGTGGGTCAAAATTCAAATTACATTAATTGATTAAGCATGAATTTCTTAGGAATCCCTAATGTAGTAAAACTGAAAATTTGCACGCTGCATGCTCAATCAATGGAATATAACATGCACTAGAATGAATTGGCTGTGGTAGAACTCACTACAACAAGTACTCAAGTGATCCCGAGCGGAGATGCTTGGCCTTGCTCCCAACCTAGGCTACATGGTTGACACATTCTGAAATCAAGTATGATGGATCACTCATAGACCATCGTTAGATCAATGGATGTTGAGTAGGGTGTCTGAAGATTTACTGAGGACCAAGTGAAAAAGCATCTTCCATTGACTTTGGCATTACTTCATGAGATAATTTGTGAGGAACCATTAATTAGTAAGAATAATACATTTTTTTAATTTTATTTTATGGGATAGAAGACTTCCATTGTTTTGGTAGAGTCGGTGTCACCTTTATTTTACTTTCTAAACATCATTATTGTGTTTTGTTTTTTCCTTGTATTGCAGATATTGGAGGGTCTTCTCAAGCTGCCAGAAAATAGGGAATGTGCTGATTGTCGATGCAAGTACGCTTCAGAACTGATTTGTGATGCATTTTGTGATGTCACCATTATTCTTTTAAAATATCTTTTTCTGGAAAAAAGCTATTATCATATCTGCTACCTGGTGGTCTTGGGTCATGCCTTAATCATTTCGAGATGATACTTCACCTTCTGGTGCACTTAATCGCGGGCTGCACTAGTCAGTCCCACATAGTGATGGCTTCTTGTGAATTACTCTGGTTTCTTTTTCTCTGTTATTTCTTGATAATATAGAATTTTGCAATATCAAAAAGTCTATTAATATATGAATTTTAAACTAGTTTCAGCCACATGAAATTTTTGGCCTTCAACAAACAGTATTTATAGCCAACTTTTTCATGCCAAGTACCAACTAAGCTAGAGGCTGGTGGTGAGGAGGCCTACAACCACCTTCTTGGATAGTCATTAGACTTTCTCAATTGACTCTGATCTGATCAAGTATTAATATGATTAGGGAATCATATTTCCTATCTGTAAAACCAATCTAATGGGTTCTTGGATCTGATTAGGCAAATTCCTACCGTAAAAATCACAGTTTTGCAAAATTTTAAAACTTAAAACACTTTTTTTTCTTTTTTTTTAATTGACTAGAGATTCTTACAAATTTAGAAATGGTTAACCTCTCATTGCTTTGAAGGCAATAGGTTGATGGTTCTGTTAAGTGGTTGTAGATACTTTAGAGGTAAGTCCCATATTTGTTTGTGGGTTTGCTCAGGTTTTTTTTCTTCTGATGTTTGTATTCAAAGAAGTTGTATTGAGCTAAGGGGTATTCCCCATTTCTGTACATATTGCTGTTTTCAATCAATGATTTATTTAACCTACCAAAAGTAGATAAAGTTGTGATATTCAGGTCAACAACTATTAATTTAATGCAATTTTTTAGTGTTATGACGTACTTATTTCAGGGCTCCACGTTGGGCAAGCGTGAACCTGGGGGTATTTATATGCATGCAATGCTCAGGAATACATCGGAGTCTTGGAGTTCATATCTCAAAGGTTTGCATTAATCATTCTTCACTAGTTTTTTTGGTTTTTGTTTTTTCTTTTCATATGATTGATGGAGTCTGTTATTATTTTTTAGAATCACTTAAAATCCCTTCAGTTAAGGGATTGAAATAAATCAAAAATACAAAAAATAATGATAAGCACAAATCATGGGATCTCTTTATATTCTGATATATTTCATATCTTCTAATATCTTTAATAATATAATCTTATCTCCAGCAACTTATACTTTCTTGTTTAATTAGGATTAAGGTTTGTTGAGTTCGACATGTATGTTCTTGCTTGAATGCACTTCAATTATTCCATATTTCAAATGATGGGAAATTCTTTTGATTTTTTGAAATAGGTACGGTCTACAACTTTGGATACATGGCTACCGGAGCAGGTTGCTTTTATGCAGTGTAAGAATATGTTTTGTATATTCTTGTGTTACATGGACTCTTCAATGGATATGACAAGGATAAGGGTGTCGGATATGTGTCCAACACCCGTACCCAATTTAGACACTTGAATCCTCTAAACTTTTACAATGTTTGAAGAAGAAGATACTCACATTTGGTAGTGAAGAAACATTTCTAGCCTCTCACATGGATGAGAGGGAGGAACTCCATGTTTTTCATAAATCCTATTTAATTTAAAGTTTTGTTTGTACATAATTAATTACATTTTTTTGTCTAAGAATATTATATATTATGCAATATGTAAGTGTCAATGACACGTTCCCATACCCATATCCAAATTTTGGTTCCATATCCCAACCCAATATGTAAGATTTAGGTTTATGAAAGTTCTAATGCTTGGGTAAGTTTCCGCACCTGAAACTCGTACCTAAGTCCATAAAATTTATGAATTAGCTAATTGCAGACCTCAAAACAAGATTGCTTTCGCACAAAGTTTAATTTTGTTTTAATTTCTTATTTTCCCCCTATGAATTGGAGAAATTGGTACCCAATTCCCTTTCGACTAATTATACAAGTGATTGGCCTATAGCATCACGCTCCACATGTGGCACAGAAAAGATAGCCGTTATCTTGCAAGATGTGATCCCTTGCTGATGCAAATTTATGGATGACTAGCTGTTTATCTTAGTCACTTGACTTTTCTGACTGGCGATGAATTTAATAGAGATCAGTGAGAAAAAAATAGTTGGTCATTCCTCAAGTTGTGCTAAATGGGTTTGATTTTTTTGTTTTACCAATATTTTTTTAAAACTATTATGGAAATTTTTTGTATTGTCAAAATGCTTAATTGTGTAGCTATGGGCAATGAGAAAGCTAACAGTTATTGGGAAGCAGAAGCATCACCAGATCTTGACAGAAGCGGGACTGAAAACTTTATCCGTGCCAAGTAAGTTGCACAACTTTACTGTGTTACATTATAAAATAGTAAATAGTTGTAGACCGCCTGGAACTCCGCTCCGCGCGCGAGGGCGCGAATTGTAGTTCTAGCTACTACAGTTCGGATTCCTGTCACGGTTCTGTATCTAGTCTCACAAAGTGCAATATAAGACTGATAAATCACCAAAGAGTCCAAATCCGGCAAATCATTTTGGAA